TACGTTATATACGGTTTCGTAGCGATATGTTGAGTGATCATGAAGTGGATGTGCTTAAAAGTTAAAGTATATTGTATTAAAAGTACTTAGGAGGGTTAGTCACTATTATCCATATCTATCATATCCGTCCCTTAGCCTACGTTACAATCCATGAAGACCTAATTGATCCTAGACATTGCGAGCTTAAATTAGTAGAGACTTATATTACGGGTAAGCCTATGGTACGAGCATTGGGGGCACATGAGTTTCTTTATGAGAGTGAGTGAATTCTTTCATTATGCGAGTCCTTAAATTATACTTGAATTCATATTTGAATGTGTGGACTGATTACTCTCTTTGTTTTTTTGGTGAGGGCACATGCTTTACAACGGATTGGTAAGGGACTCGTATCTTTAGTCTGCACAAGAAATGAGTCATAAAGAGGAATGTAGTGGAGTCAATTTTTGAGCCTAGGATGTTAGAAGAGTCACACAAATATTTTAAATAGTCTTGGCATTGGTCTAAAAATGAGGAGAGTATGAAGAGTCCTTATGTCGGGTTCTAAGGATTAATATAAACCATTGTCATTGGTAGAATGCTTGAGTATGTTATGAAAAGTGTACTTGCCGACATGCGGTTGCTCGAGGACCAACAAGAGTTTAAGTGTGGGGTGGTGATAAATGATGAAAAGTGCATATTTTTTAGTATATTTGTCGCAGGAGATTACGTGATTTTTGAGGTGAAATATGCTCATTATGTGTTTCTTATGTGTAAGAACGAGTTTGGATGATAAATGATCAAAAGATGATAATTGGACACAAAAAGGAGGAGATGAAAAGAATTGGGAGCTCGTCCAATCTCATGCGTGGCACGAAAACGGACGCGAAAAAGGAGAAAACTGAAGGTACAACATAGCGAAGTGAAGCAAAGGCACGGATCGCTTCGCGAACTGAAAAATTATAAAAGCTGAGTCCGCGTCCATGGGCGCGCGACGCACGAAGGCAGACACGGATTCCAACTCTCCTATCCGAGATTGGATTGTATTGGACGGCCCTCCACCCTACCTAGGTCATATAAATACATGCTAAACATGATTTTTACACAAATTTGGAGGAGGAGACACTACTTTGGGGTTACACAATACCTTTGGAGGCAAGAATACACTAGGAGCAAGCATGAAGATTCAACCACGAGTTTTTCCTTTCTTCTTCCTGTTTTCTATTGTTGGTTATACATTTTAGTATTGTATTTTCACATACTATTATGAGTAGCTAATTTATTATTTAGGATTTTGATGGAACCTTTTGGAGGATGAATTCTTGTTAAGTTTAAATATAATTTAGCTTTTGAATTTCTTTACTTATTCAACTACGTGCTTATTTCTTTTGATTGAATGGCCATCAATTGACTGTGCCTATTTATTATGTATTGCTTGGGAAAGGGTACATATTTAGATAGTTTTTGAACAATGTCACTCCTAACGTATATGGGGAATCAATACGGCAAGTTTAAAGGTGGATTTAGGAATAACAAAATCTTGACGTGGTCATAGTGAGCGGTAAGATTGTGCCAGCTAGCGTAATTCGGGAGAATATGTCTAGTAAATTGTGGTAGTTGCTCGGGAGAGAATTACGACACCTAAAGTGCTCACGATCAGTAGAGAATAATTAGGCGAAATTATAGGAGACGTAGCGGGAAGGATTCCGACAATTGGGAAAATCATAACTCTAGACCTACTTAATCCTATCTCCAACCCTTAGTATCTTTAGTTGTTAATTCACTCCTTTAATTTGTTAGTTAATTAGTTAGACATAAGAATTTTTATATTTACAACTTAGAAATTGTTCGAACTTGTCTTCTTGGTGATAATGAACAGTTGTAGCTAAACCTTAGTTCTCTGTGAGATTCGACTCTGGACTTTTAGGCCAGATTGTATTTACAGCGATCGCTTATCCTTTTTAGGACTAGAGTTGAGCGTGATCACCTACCCTCAAGGAGGATTTCTTGTTTGCAATTTTTGGGTTCACATGTAATTTTCATGGCTGTGGCATTCAGGTCATCTTTTCGGCACATGAAAGTTGGTTTAGGTTGGGTTAAGTTAGACAGTTTTATAGTGATAGAAAATGTGACTTCACTCTGCAATCAACTGAATGTCAATGCCCTTTGAGAAATCAACTCTATTGTTTTCTTGAAATTTAAAAAGTATATTTTTATGTAGTTTTAAAATAAATTATAAATTTTACTACAAAAGGAAATAATTTTACATCATCAAAAACAACAATGTGTCTCCAGGAGATTAATTCTTTGGAACGGTCAAGAGCCTACCTTAATGCTCAAGTTGATTCTTTGAGAATATTGATACAACAAAAAGAAAAGGAAATGAAGTAAATGTAAAGAAACTTCTATTTTCTTTGAATCAATATTTTTCTCTAAAGATGTTTAAGTGAAGTATGTATGCCCGTTAGAGATGTTTCCCATTTGGCGAAATACATAAGTTGCCACCTAACCTATGGCCCAAATCCACCTTACATATTTTTTGTGGACGATAATCATATTACACACGCAACCTTTCTAAAGTGTATCTAGTACACACCTCTTTTGACCAGGTCCCGTAAAAAGTTCATCCGTATATTTCACACGTTTGACTTTATTTTATAAACTTGACCCACTTATTTTTAACCTCTTATATTATATTAATCAACCCGACCATACCCGACCCATCTGTTAAAAAGGGTTAAACCTAATTTATCCCAAATTAACTCTCATTTCTTCATATATCTCTAAGGAACGCTAGTGAAAGCGATTCCGACGACTATCTCAAGCAAGGCTTTCATCTTGTATGGGAGGTGGATTTATGCGATTTTAGGTTAGTAATTTTCTTCTCCCTGCATTACCCGTTTATTTTAGTAGTGGGTGGGTTGAACCTAAAGTTTTTTCGAAATTGCTTCTATTTGCTTTAGGGTTTTCGGACTTTTTAAAAGGGGAATCTTTTGTCATTATCGATATTACTGTGAAGTTGTCGTGTTGTTGCCTTTACAGAGAGTTTTTTATAAAAAGATTTAATTTGTGTTTGCAAACCGTGTGTAAAGTTAGGGTTTAAGTGATTATTGTAATAGCATTGCTTTGAACAATGTGATATGCTCTTGTCTTTGTCTCCACTTTTGTATTTCATCTGTATTTTCTTATTTTTAGTTGTTGCATATGCCAGTCGATTTATTTGTCCCCTTGTTTATTTGCAGAAAAATATCTTTTAAATTGATGACACTCAAGTGGTACCATGATGGGGTCTTAGTTCCTAGTAACTTTGCTCGTTATGTGGAGGGTAGTCAAACATTGACTTTAGATGTAGATGTGGATTTACTGTCTTTTATTGAACTGATGAACTACACTAAGTTATATGAATTTAAGAATGTGGCTGAGTTGTATATTTGTCCAATGGATAGGACGGATAAATTGATAAATATTCTCACAGATAAGGATATATTAGATATTTGTAATGAATTGGAAGATGAGGATACCTTAGATATTTATGTGACTCATGATGTCCCTTTAAATGTTGTTGACATAAATGAGGCTAGTAAAGGAGTTGGTGGGAGTAATAGTGGAGCTTTTAAGAGCACAGTAATCTTAGAAGAAGAAGATAGTGAACCTGAACCTGCACTTGCCCCTGCTCCTGCACCTTCAAGAGAACAAGAGAGTGAAGTAAATAGTGAATCAGATGGTGATGAGGGTGATGATGACAATGAGAATGATTCAGACTTTGATAATCCTGATAGTGATGAGAGTGATGGAGTAGACTTACATGTTTCTGATGATAATGATTATGGATCTGATATTCATGAAGAATTTGCAGAGTGTAGGGATGAACTGAGAAAATATAGGAGGAAGATGAGTGAAAGGCCAAAAGATAGGGGTGATATTAACCTAGGTGATGCAGGAGTTGATATTGATTTTGATGAATTAAGAACTGGTAGCAAGCAAAATAGGTACACAGGCTTAGTAGGGACATATGAGCCTTATTTTGGGTCGTTTGATACTGAAAGCTTTCCTTCAAATGCTGAAGATGAATTTGATGAATAACATAAGGAGAGAATGGCTGCCAAGAGGAGGAAAAAAGCCCTGATATTTGATCCAACTGTCAAGAAAATAACCTGGGAGTTGGGGATGACTTTTTAGAGTGTTGATGATTTTAGGTTGGTTGTTACTAAGTATGCAATTCATAAAGGAGTTCAAATTGAAAAGTATATTAATGAACCTGGTAGGGTGAGGGTAAAATGCATGCACCCAAAATGTCCATGGTTATTGGCTGCAAGCAAAGATGGCAGATCCAACAATTTTAAGGTAATAAAGTATTGTCCTGTCACAAGTGTTACAAAACAAATAAAAACAAACTCTGCAACTCCAAATACCTTGCAAAGCATTACATGGATAAGATTGTGTCAACCAAATATGAAAGTTTAGGAGATGAAAAAGCTCATTAAGGATGAACTGGACATGTATGTTGGTAGGTCTACTCTCCATAGAGCTAGAGCAGAAATTCTGAAGGAGATATTAGGTGATGTGCATGTTGAATTCAAGAGACTCCATGATTATAGAGATATTTTATTACGGACAAATTCAGGTACAACTTGTGTTGTGAAGGTAGAAGATCAAGGTGAAGGCAAGATTGTCTTCAATTCATTTTACATGTGCTTCTATGCTATGAAAAAAGGATGGTCTGAAGGTTGCAGAAGGATAATTAGCCTTGATGGATTCTTTTTGAAAGGCATTTGTAAGGGTCAACTGCTTGTAGCAGTATCAAAGGATGGCAACAATCAGATATTCCCTATTGCTTGGGCCATTGTAGAGTGTGAGAACAGTTTCACTTGGACATGGTTTTCTGAAATGTGTGACTCATGACTTAGAGCTTCAAGATAGAAGGGATCTCACTATCATGTCTGATATGCAAAAGGTGACTTCATTACTGTCAATACTTAATTTTTCTTATTTATATTTCTGTTGGTAACTAATATATTCTTCTTATGTTACGGGGATTGCTTAAAGCTGTATCAGAAGTATTGGCTGAAAGTGAATATAGGTGGTGTGCCAGACATATATTAGCAAACTGGTCCAAATATTGGAGAGGATTAGAGAGGAAAAATAACTTCTGGAGGTGTGCTAGAGCATCATGTGTGGCAGAATTGAATTTCCACCTGGACAACTTGAATATGCTTATGAATGGAATATGTGAGAGCCTCTTAAGGTATAACAAGGAAACCTGGTGCAGAGCATACTTCAACTGTGACAGAAAATGTGATATAATTGACAACAATATGTGCGAGATCTTTAATGCTTGGATACTTGCTGCTAGACACAAGACATTCATCACAATATTGGAGGAAATCAGAGTGAAAATGATGGAGAGAATAGGAAAGTTGAGGGAGTTTGTAGATACATGGATATGTGATATATCCCCAATTGCTATGAAAGTGTACCAGGATAACATGGTCCAGTCTATGAGGTGTACAATCAAATGGAATGGTGAATATGGCTATGAGGTTGAGGATACCTTATTAAGAGTGGTATTGAAGCACTGTGTGAATATGCAAACTCAGACTTGTACCTGCAGGTCATGGATGCTGAAGGGTATCCCTTGTGCTCATGCGATTGCTGCTATGCACTTCAAGAACATTGAGCTAATTAACTACATATCTCACTGGTACCACAAATCTACTTATCTGAAGGCATATTCAACATTTATCCAGCTTGTACCAAATATGCAGACATGGCCAACATCTACCAATTCACCAATTGAACCCCCACCAATTAAAAAGATGCCTGGCAGACCAAAGAAAAAGAGAAGAAACTGAACATTCTAAGTCTGGAAAGCTTTCAAGAAGGGGTATGGAGATGACATGTTCAGACTGTGGTGGCTATGGACACAACAAAAGGAGCTGCCCCAAGAAATCAAGGCCTGCAGATTCTACTCCTGCAAATGCTTCTTATAGAGAAAGATGTGGAGGAAGAGGCAGAGGAAGAGAAACAGGAACAACTGCTCCTAGAGCTTCAACTTCAACTACTTCTGCCCCTGCTGCTACTGGTAGAGGAAGAGGAACTCGTAGAGGTAGAAGAAGTAATACACTTTCAACTTCAACTACTTCTGCCCCTGGAATAGGAAGATGAACTGGTAGAGGTAGTGGAAGAGGAACTAGAAGTTTTGGGTTTGGACTGTTTCAATCAAGCAGTGGGTTCACAAGTTTTTCTGTAAGTACTTCAAACTTAACTTTATGTCTTGTTTGATTTAACTACTTTACTAAATATTTTCTGTTTTGGCAGTCTGGTGGAGGTAAACTAATAGTGGTTTCTTATGGTGGTGAAAAGAGGTCTTCATCAGATATTCATGAATGTGCCTACAAGTCAACAAGTGGAGTAAAATGGAATGGTAGACCAGCCATTACTAGAAGACAACTTGAAAGAACTGCTGCATCCCATTCCAATCTAAGTCAAGCAAGTTCATCATCCCAGCCATCCAAGAACAACTATATGTAGTTGTGTATTGAATGTTGTTATTGTGATTGTTAAGTTATTTTGGAACTGTTGTTAGATTATTTTGGAACTGCTGTTAAGTGGTGTATTCAATGTTGTTATTTTGTTAAGGCAGGCTGTTGTTATTTTGGTATGCTGTTAAGATATCAACCTATATTTTTGTTAAGGCGGGCTACTATTAGGTGACTGTAATGAATACCTTTACTTTATGATGATATGTGTTTTAAATTGAAAATTTCTGGGCAGATTCATCTCTTTAGTTTTACTACTTTAGTATTTCAGCATTTGAGTTGTATTTTAGGCAGCAATTTTAGCCACTATTTAACTGTGTACGCAGTATATTATCTGCATTTTCAGCTCACATAGCAATAATCACAAACCAAACAACATTAACAGTTACAAAAAATTTCATTCATTTCTAACAAAGGGATACAAAATCTACCAAAAAGCTTCATTCATTTTCTTACATTATATAACAATCAACACAATCAACTTCAATACAATTACAATTAAAACCAGCACACACAATCTCCTCCAATTTCTTTGATTCCTATTTTCTTTTAATAATGCATCAAACACCCTCTTCTTCTTAAGCAGCCCCAAAATCACAATTTTCAAGTGTTCTGGAGTTGGGGGATCAAACCACACAAAAAAATTACATGCCGAGCGACTGTCCCTCTGAAAATCGAAGAGAAAAAATTATTAAGGAATATAAAATCGATTATAAAAGTATAATTGATATTTACCTCATAAAATGGACATTCGTAAAATCGACGACTAGGATTATCAATACTCCATGACTGTATCACCACAACTTCTTCACCACAATAACAAAATTTTCTCAGATTATGCATTTCTCCTAACCCTAAAATTGAACCCTAGAAATTGAACCCTAATGTCGAAAAACAGAAGGAAGAAGTAAAAGAAGATTGTAATATTGGCAACAGAAAAACACCTAAGAAGATGTCAAAAAGAAGAAATATTCTGCAACTTCGAGCTTTCAAGGAGGAAGATGGAGGTGAATACGGGTCCAATTTGAGAAGAAATGGGTTGAGGGCCCTTTTATTTGTTTAAAAATGGCCGTTGGGATTTGTTTATGGCCGTTGATTTAAGTCAGAAATTGTCTGCTTTTACTGTCCACGCGCTTCTACCGTTTTGTGTTACACACGCTTAGACCTGGTCACAAGAGGTGTGTACTAGATACACTTTAGAAAAGTTGCGTGCGTAATATTATTATCGTTCATAAAAAGTGTGTAAGGAGGATTTGAGCCATATGTCAGGTGGCAACTTATGTAATTTGCCTTCCCATTTTGATGAATATGGTGATTAGCGCCTTCTTCTTTCTTCGGCCTTCACCCAAGATACTACATACTTCTTTGTCCTATGTTATTTGCTATAGTTATATGTATGTTATGAACTATATGCTCTCTCTCTCTCTGTTATCTTATAAAAGGAAAATACATTTTGTCTGTCTCTCTCTATTCAATTTGTGTACTTTGCAAATTATTTTTATGCCTTATGTTCAATGCCGTAGTTGAAAAGGACAATGGTCTTTACCATACAAATTGTCCTTTTCCAAATTCCAAGTAAAGAAATAATATTGATAAATGACTAATTGGGCCTTCAAATCCAGCATGGACCTCATATACCAACATGCTTAAATAGCATACTCAATATGGGAGATAAGTAGAATAAATTGATACACTTTTTAATATTTAGGGTTTTTTTTGTTTTTTTTTTTGAATTCTAATAATTATTTGGAAAAACTCTCTGACTGAAATCTCTAAACGTATAAATGAAAAATCCGTGCATTTTTTGAATATAGAATAGAAAATCAAAATAATTTAATTCAAAAAGTCGGTCTTTTAAAAGAGGAAAAGAACTGTTGAGCCAAAATAATGCAGGTACAAAAATTTTGAACTACATATAATCATGTAAAGTATTTATTTAATCAACCTATTATGGAAAGATATGTTTCCTTATTATCGGAAAAGTAGTTTAGTTATGTAGAAATGGAAAATAATAATAAAGAAGAGAAAGTGGTCATGAAGGATAAATACATAGTATATTAAATTACATAATTGAAAATTAAAGTAAGAATTCATATTATATAATTATGTATGTATGAAAATACACGTTTTTAATTGGTTTAATGTAAATAGGTGCATATAAATTTTTACAGTTATGAAGCAGTTGGTTAAGTCAACTTAATTTCAGGATTTACAGTTGTAATAATCACAATTAGTCATACGTTGTACTCTCATGGTAGAAGTCAAACTCTTTTAACCCTACCCCTCTTTACACTTTTTACTGGCCCATTCCTCCACTTATCTCATACACCACCACTTTTACATACAGTCCCTGTTTCTGCTGCGGGAATCAATTTTAGGAATTCTGTATAATGCTTTTCTCTTCCTTCTAGTTTCTCTTATTGTCAGTTTTCCTGCTGGAATTTTCACAGGTAAGTTAGAAATTTTATAATTACAGTTTTCCTGTGAGTAAGAACAAATTTATGTTTGGGATGATCATCTCGCCCACAAAGCAAAATGATTAGTTATAGAGACTTAAAGTTTTTTTTTCGAGTGTGTTGACTTCGTTCTCTTATTCAATTACTAGTTTAATTTCCGTTACTGTTTTTAGGTTTCTAATCCTGATGATTTTTCTTGTGTTTTTCATGTAATTGAAACAGGAGAAGAAGTAGAGATGGAACTGGGCAATGCTGCGCAGGAACAGTTGCAAAAAGCAGTTTCATGGGCACCAATAACGCCCGACAAGTGCGTGTTAGCAACACCAGAATTTAACTCTAATAATGCTGATTTCAACAAATTTTCGTCCATAAGTAGTTCAGGTAAGTTATATACACTGACACTGTTGATATTGTTATAGGATCAGTATAGCTTTACCTATTATAACAGTTAATTACCATTAAAGTGACCTCATTGTACAAATATTTTTTTACTGTCAGCGTGTAGCTTAATTTTAGTATCACAGTTTCAGTAGGTCGGATTTTTCAATAATTATTAAGAAATTGATCCTGTGTATTTTGTTTCTGCGTGATGGTTGCCTCAATAGATTATGGAACATTTTTTCCCCAAGTATATGCAAGCTCCTTTTCTGCAAATATCCAAGAGTTTTTGTATATCCTTCTCAATGTATAAGTAACACTTTATATAACTACGCTTTTTGTTCATTTCATGCAACTAACAATGATGTAATTTGTTGAGCAGTTTAGTAAACTTTCCATCCAATGTTGTTTTAAGTAACTGCGGCATCTATTATAGCAACATTTGAGAGTAAATCTTTTAGATTATCAATAGTTAATGGAACTTAGTGATCGTAGTTGAATGTATGACTGAAGCAGTTAATACAGCAGAAGCTAATCCCAAATAAGCCATGCAGTGAGAAAAGAAGGAAAACAGTAAGAATAAGGAAGAGAGAAAAGATAGGTTTTCACTCAAGTCATGCTTTACGATGCTCGGTCTAAACGAGAAGTAAAAGCCTAATGATGAACTATCTAGCAGAGTTTCTGTTAGACGGTACTGATATATTGTCTCTTCTCGTCTTTTCTGTCTTCTTGAGCTGAGGGTCTATCGGAAACAGCCTCTATGCCCCATCGGGATAGGGGTAAGGTCTGTGTACACACTACCCTCCCCAGACCCCACCTGTGGGATTTTACTGGGTTGTTGTTGATGTTGCTACTGAAATTAACAAAACATGTAGGACTAAAATATAAGGATGGAAGAACCTCATGCTACCATTCGTTACAATAACCACCGGAAGATTAGTGTTAGAATGGTAGAATACATGACAACACTGCAAGCATTCATTACAATAACCACTGGAAGATTGGTATTAGAATGGTAGAATACACGATAATGCTGCACTTAGTGGCTCAATTTTGATTCCTTGATGCTTAATTAAATTCTTCTTAGTTTTCCTTTTTTTCCTTGTATTATTGTTGGAATTATAATGAGCTACCTGTTTCTGATGTACTTAAATGTAATTGATGTAATTTTTCAAAAGAAAGGGCACCAACAAAATCACTGTCAACTAATCCATGTCCAAATTTCCAGTAAGTTCAAATGTTTTAAACGTTGAGCATCCAAATTTCTTTTTGCAGATAACAGCCTAAAAAAGGATGAGGAGGTTTCTGCTGTGATTGAAGGGAGGAGCAAAGTCCAAAGTGGAAAACTGGATTGTGATTCTAAATCAGCTTCCATGTCTCCTTCAACTCCTATTCAGAAGGGTTATCCCAGGAAGAAACAGGGTGGTATCTTTGACCTGAATGACAGACCAAGGAAGAAACCTAGATTGAAAAAACACAAACCAAAAATCTTTGATGAAAGCAAGCCCAAAAAGACTCCAAAGCCTAAGATAAAGCCTTCGACTCCAAAACCAGTTAACTTAAAGGCAAGTGCTAGGACAAAGAGTAAACTAAGAAAGGACTGCGACAAAGTCTCAGTTGATTTATCAGGAGATAGTGATATGCAAGCACCTAACAGAAAGACTCCAGGAACTATTCCTGAATCTCTAGTCCTAAAGGTTTCAACTCCTCAGCCGGAAATGGAGCACAATATTAATGTAGATCTTGGGCATGATGTGAAGTCATGCAGACGAGCTCTAGATTTTAATTTGGAAATTGAGAATGATGTTATTTCCGAGAGAGCTGCAGAAGTGATCAAAGATCATGTAACACATAGTTGCAACAAATTCTTGACAAATAGACTGGACGGTGTTAACGAGCAAGCAGTTGAAACTGATATCAACTGTGCTGCAAATGTAGACAAGGAGTCACTGATTCCGAACTTGATTGTTCTGGCAAAAGATGAAAGCAGCCATGACACACGTGCTAGCCTGTTGAAAGCTAATTTACATGACGGTTATGATATTAGCACCACTGGCTTAGAACATAATATAGAGGCAGAGTCAACTTCCCAGCCCAACCGAGGTAACCAAATTCCATTGTATGACTATTCTTTTGTTGTAAGTTTTTTACTTCTCAAAGAATTCTTGGAACTGATCTCACTTTTCGAAGAATTAACATTGGCACCATGTCTTTGGCAGAAAATGAAGCTAGTACCTGCCAAATTGACCAAAGAGCCTGCCAGCATCATATTCTGAACGTTTATAAAAGGAGGACCAAAAGTAAAACAGGTATGATGTCCTTGCCAGGAAATGAAGCTGGTATCTACCAGAATGACCATGGAACAACGGACCAAATTGGTTGTCAGAATCGTTTTCTGAAAGTTTATGGAAGGAGGAGAAGAAGAAACATTGGTACCTTGTCTTTGGCAGGAAATGAAGCTGATATCTACCCGAATGACCATGAAGCCCCAGATCAAAGTGATTCTCAGCATCATTTTCCAAAAGTTTATAAAAGAAGGACAAGAGGTAACATTGGTACTATATCTTTTATAGGAGATGAAGCTGATCTCTACCAGAATGACCGAGGATCTGCGGACCAGACTGGTTGGCATTTTCCAATAATATGCAAGAAAAGGAGGACTAAAAGGAGAAAAGCACTTGTGTTTTTCAATTTTTTGAATGCTCATCATGCAGACAAAGGCCAGAATGCATTGAATACTGATATGAGATGCAAAGTGTCTTCCAGTGCAAAGAGGAGGTATGGAAGATTTGGTGCAAAGAGAGCTACAAAAAAGCGTTTTAAAATTGCCAAGAGAGCTAAAAAGAGTTGTTTTATAATTGCCAAGAGAGCTACAAGGAGAAGTTCTAAAACTGCCAGTGGTACTAAAAAGATATGGTTTTCAACTGTGAACTTGGAGCAGAATGTAAACTTAAAATCACATTTTGTTGGAGAGGTTCTACCTACCGAATATCAAATTAGAGCTGCAATGGCTGATCCAGAATCTTTTGATTGTGTGCTTGGCTTGTCCCCTATAGTGAAGTCTCGGAGGAAGAGATCTATCCATCCTAAGAGGACCAAGTCTGCTTACGGGGAAGAAAACACAGATCTAGAACCTTTAAGTCTTGCCTTAACTTTGCCTCCACTAGTCATGTCCAAAAGGAAAAGATCTAAAAATAGTGAAAGATCAACTGTTATTCTAGATTCCCTCTGCCTTACATCAGAAATAAGTGCAATTAACAGGATTGAACCTTTTATAGATACATCAGCTTGCCCTGAAATTCAAGGATGCCCACAACATGAATATCTGTGGCCTAAAGCAGATAAATCAGCTCGCAATGAAATTCAGGAATGCCAACAACATGAAGATGTATGGCCTAGAACAGATATATCAGCTTGCAATGAAATCCAAGAATGGCCACCGCATGAAGATCTGTGGCCTAGAACAGATAAATCAGCTTGCAATGAAATTCGAGAATACCCACAACATGAAGATCTGTGGCGTAGAACAGATAAATCAGCTTGCAATGAAATTCGAGAATACCCACAACATGAAGATCTGTGGCGTAGAACAGATAAATCAGCTTGCAATGAAATTCAAGAATGCCTACGGCATGAAAATCTGTGTCCTAGATCACAGAGTAATCTACTTCCGACCTGCATTTATCCTTTTCTCACTTATTGTAATAGTTGTAATGTATATATTGATACAATTTTGCAGGTTCAACGGACTTGGAATCCTTGGTTGCATCACTTATTCAGAGGTTAGAGAATATAAGAATCTGCGATCAGAGAACCTATAGAAAAAGAATAGCGATCAGTAAGAAAAGAACCAGTAATAATGCTGGACAGCTTGTCTTGTGGAATCCTTTTGGTCCAATAACTGTTCACAAGGGAAAGTATAAGCCCTTGAGACCAAAACTGCCCAAGGTTGATATTGATACGGAGTCACTGCGAGTGTGGAAACTACTTATAGAAAATGAAGGTGAAATTGATGAAGACCTGGATAAAGAGAAGGAGATATGGTGGGAGGAGCAAAGAAAAATATTTCAAGGAAGGGCGGTGTCATTTATTGCCCGCATGCGTCTTGTCTTAGGTACATCTTAAACTTTTCTGTCTTACAAGTAGTTTGATGCTTTAACTTTCATGCTAAAGGGAAACTTCCAGGTGATAGGCGCTTTTCCCAATGGAAAGGGTCCGTGGTAGACTCTGTGGTTGGCGTTTACCTAACACAAAATGTATCAGATAATCTTTCAAGGTAAACTTCATTGTATTACATACCCATTTTTTCTCATTCCGTGGAGTGTAAATAATCTTATTGCACCCACTATGTAGCAATGCCTTCATGCTTCTTGCTTCAGCATTCCCACCGCAAAATAAGCAAGAAATGACTACCCCACAAGGACAAGCTTTTATGATAAGAGAGGGAATGCGAGATTCATTTGAAAGAGAAGTCTGTGCCAATCAGAATGATCCTGGGTTTGCTGGTTCTTCTCGAAGTGCAATGTCCATATGTAGGTCAAGCTTAGATGAATTATCTTTTGTAGATGATATACATACATCAGAATATTTGCCTACATCTTATAGACACTTACCTCACGTGGGGGACTGCATAAATGAGAGATTGGATGGAACTCGAGAGGAAAAAAATAGACCTGAGGATACTTGTGGAAGTCAGGTTACAGTCACTTGTTGCAGCTCAGAAGTGATAATCTCCACTGAGAGTGGTGACTGCATAAATGAGAGATTGGATGGAACTCGAGAGGATACTTGTGGAAGTCAGGTTACAGTCACTTGTTGCAGCTCAGAAGTGATAATCTCCACTGAGAGTGGTGACTGCATAAATGAGAGATTGGATGGAACTCGAGAGGATACTTGTGGAAGTCAGGTTACAGTCACTTCTTGCAGCTCAGAAGTGATAATCTCCACTAAGTGTGGTGACTGTATAAATGAGAGATTGGATGGAACTCGAGAGGAAAAAATTAGGGCTGAGGATACTTGTGGAAGTCAGGTTACAGTCGCTTCATGCAGCTCAGAAGTGATAATCTCCGCTAACAGTGGTGACTGCATAAATGAGAGATTGGATGGAACTCGAGAGGAAAATAATAGAGCTGAGGATACTTGTGGAAGTCAGGTTACAGCCACTTCTTGCAGTTCAGAAGTGAGAATCTCTGCTAACAGTGGTGTCTGCATTAATGAGAGATTGGATGGAACTCGAGAGGATGCTTGTGGAAGTCAGGTGACAGTCACTTCATGCAGCTCAGAAGTGATAATCTCCGCTAACAGTGGTGACCACATAAATGAGAGATCGGATGGAACTCGAGAGGAGAAAAATATAGCTGAGCATACTTGTGGAAGTCAGGTTACAGCCACTTCTTGCAGTTCAGAAGTGATAATCTCCGCTAAGAGTGGTGATTTAGGAAATGAAGCGGTCAATTTGCCCAAGACAATATCGAGAAAGAAAGATGAATTCCCAAAAAGAGAAATTGATTGGGATGAATTGAGGAAAACCTATTCTACTGGAAGATCCGGTGTTCTTACCGAAAGAAATAGGGATTCTGTCAATTGGGAAGCCGTTAGACATGCAGATGTTGAAAAGATTTTTGAGCCAATCAAAGGTCGAGGACAGGGTAATGTTCTTGCTGCAAAGATCAAGGTACACTGTAGTGGTTTCAGTTCTCTCATTTTATTTATAATCTATGTGTACCACACTTAGAGTAGCTCATAGTTGATTGATTGATCTGCTTACATTGGTGTTCTTTTAATCAATCGGTTGGTGATATGAGCTTTGCAGAATTTTCTTAATCGATTGGTTGAAGATCATGGAAGCATTGACCTTGAGTGGTTAAGAGATGTCCCACGAGATAAAGTGAAGTAAGAACGTAAATTATTTACTCAAAATTATGGTCATCGTGGTATTTAAAGTTAAGATGTTGTCGAGCATTGTTTTATTACTCTGCTTCTGTTCAGAGAATACTTGTTGAGTATAGATGGGATTGGACCGAAGAGTGTGGATTGTGTTCGACTTTTGACACTTCGGAATCTTGCTTTTCCTGTAAGTTTTCAGCAGGGAGTTTTTGTCCACTTTTTTTGGCCTTAAGGAATCTCAACATTCTGGGTTTTTCTTATTTTCTCATTTTTTGCTCACAAGGTTGACATAAATGTTGCTCGAATAGCAGTACGTCTAGGATGGGTCCCTTTGCAACCACTACCTGATGGCATCCAGATGCATCTTCTGGAGAGGTTTTAATTGAATAAATTCTATTTAGTGTTGCTAAGGTTGAGCTAGTGTATATTAAGTGTTGATTTTCTTTCCAATTAGGTACCCCCTGGAGAGTGACATACAAAAGTACCTTTGGCCACGTCTTTGCAACCTTGATCTGCTAACACTGTAATGCATTTCCACTTTCTTTAGAGTTTTCGTGTTAATGGATTTGCTTGTTACCTTTAATTCTAAGTAACCGAAAATTTGTTCCTGAAAATCTTCTGCTCATTAAGTTTGGTACGTGTGGCAGATATGAACTGCATTATCATATGATCACATTTGGAAAGGTCAGATTTACACTCAACCGTCAATGAGAGCAGAGTTTGATTAGCTATATTATTTCTTCACTGAGCACTAACAGCAGGAGTTTTCTTCAATATCACACAGGTTTTCTGTACGAAGAGAAGTCCAAACTGTAATGCCTGCCCAATGAGAGCCGACTGCAGACACTTTGCAAGTGCATTTGCAAGGTTCGCATCGGATTACTGCTCAACTATAAAATAAACTATTTTTTGTTTTTTTGATGCAATTGATATCTAGGCCTGTTTAGTAAACGAAAATATCTGAAGTATTAACAATTCCCATAGGTAAAGATAATAGAAGGAGACAAGATAGGAAAAGAAAGAGAAGAAAATTTGGTAAAGAAGTATCACTAGTAGGTTACTTCCCTTTTGGTGTTGGTAGAAAAACCTATTCACCTGAATAACCTCAGGTGCAAAAAAGTGATTTCCAAACAATGAATACTTCATATTCCAAGAAACCTTGTCAAATTCATCCTCGTGCGTCAGAATATTTATAAATTTGCACTATGCAGTTCTAGGCTTCGCCTCCCAGGACCACAGCAGAAAGGAGTGGTCACCGTTAAGCAGCCTGTTAGAGTTGATGAAGTCCCAAACATGTGTCTGCCATCACCAACTTTGTCCCTTTCTAGCAGAAGCTTCTTGGAGTCCAGGTTCCAGACTCAAGATTGTGAGCCTATCATAGAAATGCCAGCATCTCCTGAGCAAAAACCTCTAGAATCACTGGAACGAGACATTGAAGACTTTCCTTATGAGGTGGAGCATGAGCAGGAGATACCTACCATCCGACTCAACACTGAAGAGTTTCGAGAAAATGTCTTGAACTTTATCAACAAGTCCAACACTACAGAGTTTCAAGAAAGTGTGTTGAACATTGTTGATGAGATCAGTACATTGAATCGAGATGAAGAAGTGTCAAAAGCCTTGGTTCTTTTGAATCCAGTGTCTGCTTCACATCCTGCTCGTAAACTGAAGTATGAGAGTCGACTAAGGACTGAGCACTTAGTGTAAGTAATAATTCCATCTTTTTGCGTATAGCAAATATTTCAAGTTACAGAACCATATGCTTATAACATGAGCAAATAGTATGTTAAATTGAACACATGCAGTTGTTATTTGCTTAAGCTTTTGGCATACAGCATTTGGCTGATTATAACTATGACAGGGTTTGATGTTTTTGACATCAAAATTTTCATCAGGCAGCATATTTACTAAGTCTTGATACTTATATTTCTTATGTGAGAAAATATCTAGAAAAGTTTCATAAAAGCCAACAATTCCTCATTCGGTTGCAGGTATGAGCTTCCAGATTCACATCCTCTTTTGAGTGGGGTAATTTCTTATACATCTTAAGATGTCAGTTGTTTTTATGCAACTACATGGATTAATGTCTACTACTTTACAGTTTGAGGAACGGGAGCCTGATGACCCCTGCCCTTACCTTCTTGCCATCTGCCGAACAGGTAAAGAAGTATTGGTGGATGCTTACTATGAATGTCATCTCCTAATAATGCATCTCTCCTGACGTAGTTCAAACTAACTATTTTTTTAACTTTAAGAGGAACTAGAACGACGTGATGCAGAGATATGCTCAGGCAGTCCAAGTTCCTCCCAATATGATCAGATAGTTTATGGAACTATTTTGGTAAGTTCATCACGAACATTCCTTCATATTGTTTCCTAAGAGATTCTTCATTTGGATATGAGACATACTACCATGATTTTACAGATACCATGTCGGACGGCGAACAGGGGAAGTTTTCCACTTAATGGAACGTACTTTCAAGTTAATGAGGTAATCAGATTGTGTGATTGTTTCCCCATGAACTCCTCTTTGTTGCTGCATGGTCACTACTTCATTGTGTTACAGTCAACCTCACAAATAATTTATTGTACACCAGGTTTTTGCTGATCATGAGTCAAGCAAAAACCCAATTCCTGTTCCGAGGACATCAATATGGCATTTGAGACGAAGAACTTTATTGTGTGGAACTTCAGTTACGACCATTTTTAAAGGTAGAAAATATTCTGTTGCTTGTAATATTTCACTTGATCTGGTCATGTTTTATCAAGACTTGGCTTCATAAATACTGATATTACTCATAATTCAAACCAGGCATGTCAACAGAGGACATTCAGTATTGCTTTTGGAGAGGTATGGCACATCTCTTCTGTATATACAAAATTGAAAAAAGTGTTGCTATTGTGAGGTTCTATACCTTCATATCTCTTCTGAACTTGATATATTAAATAGAATTACTAAGAATGGTCAGAAGTCTAGTGAAAATTGAAAGGAAATCTTGGCTAAAATGGATTTCACAAAATATAAGTTTCTATTATAGTGGAAATCTTGGAAATACATAATGAAATGACTAGGATATCTTGCCTACGAACTAGGTGATAGAGAAATGTTGGAACAAAATACAGTATCATGTCTTTTGTATACAACGTAGGGGCCAAATATTATACTCCAATGACAGTGAAAAGGCATTTCCACAAGCATATTAGCCCTGTTCATCTTTTATGTTTGATTTGATGATGGTAAGTTTCGTAACAAGGCAAGTAATATCATGACCGTAATTCACAATCACCTTATGTTTAGATGAATAAAAATTACAAGAAACAGTACTTTCTTGCTGAAGGAAAAAATTGTCTTATGTTTCCGATCTTGTATCTTTTCGCAGGATATATGACTGTGAGAGGATATGACAGAGAGCAGAGGGCACCCAGACCCCTCCATGATCGGTTCCATTCAGGATCAAAAAGTAAAAGATAGTGAATTCTGATGATTTGCATTTAGAGGTGGCAAAATGATTTGATAGGTGATAAAAGCATAAACTATTTTTGAAAACCTGTACCCATTTATCATTCGTTTAACATAATTTTCTTGTGAGAATCATGATCGTCCTTTGATGGAAAAGGTCATCCTAGTCGCTCATATAGTTGCTAGAATTGTTTCATTCTTTTGCGATTTCTATTACTTGACAGGATTTTCTTGTTGTAGTTATTTCAATCATTGCTTTGATCATTTGGTTAGTCTATTTTCCTGATTAAGAGCTATCCTGCCAAGTTATAAGGACATAACTTATGCTAGATCCTGGGAGACCTTTATTCTCTGTGAAACAAAGGAAGATATCTATTCTCATTTGGGATGCACTCAAATCGTATATGACTTGAAAAATATCAAGGAAAAAGATGGTGTATGACTTGAGTGCCTTTATTTAGGAGGAGTCGAACATATGTCAGTCAGCTCATTGTCATACAAAATGTTTGATGTATTCTGGACAGTATAAAGTTATGGTTGTTTATTCTTCTTTGTATGGTACTTGCTCTTTCCCTCTTTAATTTTTGAACAACCTCTTGCAGAAATGCAGGATAAGGCTGCGTATACTAGACCCTTGTGGTCCGGCCCTTCCCCGGATCCCGCGCATAGTGAGAGCTTAGTGCACCGGGCTGCCCTTTTTCTGATAGTCTTATGTTAGCTAAATTCATCCTTAAATTGCTTCATATAGTAGAGTCGTATGTTGATTGTTTGTTTAAGCAGGTCATAGGTGCCTAAAATTGAGGGATTGTAGCTGCGTGCAATTATGTCAAAGCTGATTGTTGATATATTGTATTTCTATTCTCTTACACAGCATAACTTTGGTTTGACGGTAAGTTGTTGGTTAACTATGCATGCTCCATGCCATGGTTCATAACGTCTTTAACAGGTAAACATATAACTTTTATATCACTCCTTATCATCCAAGTACAATTTAATATGTTCTATAATAGATTTCGTAGACTATGATTAACATTACCGACCTGAACGTAGAACTGCTATACCATTATCATGTGAAGTATACATGGATGTTTTCCATAGTATCGGAAGTTCAGAGAATTCTTTCTGCTCCCACCATTGTCACCCACTGATTTCTGTATGGTTAGCATACTTATTGTTTTGTAATGTAGAGGGCCTCAGAAAACAACTGGAATTTCTTTAGTTCAATTTAACTTGTACTCTGAACACTTGAAGGATGCTATGCACTTCAACTTGGCAACTGCTGAGAGGATTTCATTTAGAATGCATTTCCATCCATACCTTTACATAAGGTTTGCACATAATGTTTGGGTCTTGTAAGAAGAGCGACTTAGTTGAAACATGAGAGGATGCTTCAGTCAAGCACAATATCTATTGATGTTGAACTCCAACAGAAATGCTGTCTAAGAATTTCAAGTTCTAACTTCTATACTTGGAGCCCAGTTGTTCTAGAGCAAATTTTTAGTATAGGTCTTACAGGTTTTATAATCCATGTATGAATTAGTGTATGTTATTTTATGTATGCCGGCTAAAAAATATAAATGGTGAAGCGGCTGGCTATTTATGTAAAGATCTCTTTAAAATTGGTGGCCCAATTCGATTGTGCGAAGGATAGGTCCATTGCCTGCCACGGTGGGCTTCTCACAGAAATTCTACTTGTAACAGAGTGGAGATCATGCGGTAAATGTTTGTCATAGTATATTGATAAAAGGATAGTACCTGAAGGAGTTAATGAGATTGTTAAGTTGGGGGGGTAGCACCAAGAGTTGGTAAGTACCCTCCATTCTCGGGTTTAAGCCTTCGGAATGGAGTCACTTTTAGTAAAATACGCTTTGCTCTAAAGTGAGACTTTAGTCGCTCTAAAGTGGATAATCCAAGTCGAGTGGAAAACAAAATAAAAATAAAAATTGGAGGGTAGAGATTGGAAGTGCAGGAATACGGTGCATTTGGGCAGAAACAAACAACAATGGTGTCTCTCTCTAATGTCCACACCTGACGAACTGCTGGTCTGTGCTCGGCCTTCAGCACTGCCAAAACTGAGAAACTGAAAGGAAACGAAAGGGGAGGAACGAAAATCGAGGCACCTCAATCTAAAGTCTACACTCTCTCTGCTCTGCCTACTTCTCAGACTCTTTTATAATACCATAAAAATATTAGATTCTCATATACTCCTCCCCAGTACTGTATTTGTTATGAATATCCAAACCCCATTATACTACCCATCGGTACACCGAAGAATTTAGAAGCAGTGAGAAAAAGTCTTTATACGGAAAACAGAAGTAAAAGTTGTAATTTTTCAAATGTACTTTATACGAAAACAGAGAATAGAAAAAGCTTTTAAAGGTATATTTTCTAAAATTGTACTAATAATTTGATGGATAGTAAGCACTTGATCTTTTTAAGTTATTTGGGGGGAGGGGGGTCGAGAGGGGGAGGGTTGGACCAAGCCTGCCTCCCTCTGCATTTTCACCTGACTGCCTTGACGTATTACTGTATATGATTTGAAAAAAATAGCACTATACTATTTTTATCGTCATATGCAAAAGTCGGCTATTCTTGTGGGTCGAAAGAATTACTTACTATATATTCAATTGTTTAATACGTAAACTCTGTATTAAATCAACTTAACCAAATATACATAAACTAAAACAAAAAGTTTCATAGGGTAAAATAATACTTAATAATAATAATAATAACTGTTATTATTATTATTATTAAGTTTTTGAACTAACTTTTTATTTTCTCTCAAATTAGTTTTGTCGAGTGTCCAACTTTTGTATGTATGCTCTTGTTTGTGAATACAAAAAATTATACCAACAAGGGTTGTGGTGGAGTGTTAAGTACTCCTTTATCCTTAACCAGAGGTAGGGGTGGCTAGTGGGTCGGTTAGGACCGGGACCGGCCCAGGACCGCAAGCCCACATGGGCGGTGGGCCTAAACGGTCTTAACCGGATAGGATCGGAACCGTGGGGTGGTGGGCCGGGTAGTGGGCCGGTCTCATAGGGGAGGCCCGTGAGACCGGGACCGGCTCAGAAGTGGGCCGGTTCAAGCGGTCCTAAACGGGCCCAACGGATAATTTTTTTAAATTTTTTTTTTGACCGTTTGGCTATTTAAAAACTAGCCGTTTGATCTGCCAAAATAGTTGTTGGCTATTTGCAAAATAGCCATTTAACCCCCCCAAATTTTGTTTTAACCCCAAACTTTTTATAATTACACTTTTTTCCTATTTTCAACTATAAATACCCCCTCATTCTTTCATTTTTCTCACAAAATCATTAATCTCTCTCAATCTCTCTCTAATATTCTTCTATAATTGCTTACTTAATTGTTACAATTTGTGCAAAATTGTGAAGTTGGTGAATTGAAGTCTTCAACGATAATTATTTTTCAACAAGTTGTTCGTCAATTCGGTAAACTCGTTCCAACTCTTCAGTTTTAATATTATAATTTTGTTTGTTTTATTTACTTTGCTTGATTAATTAAGATGGCTTATTCCCTAAAAAAAATATTTAGTAAAAATAAGAAAAAATCCAAGAGTGGTGAATCTAGTGGCCAATCTGTTCCTCCTCCATTTCCCCCGTCTCCCCGGCCGAAACCTGTTACCCGTCCTACACCTGCTATTCTTGATAGCGATAATAGTTTATTACAATTTATCGAGAGTCAATTTTGCCATAATATTGCACTCGGTGAACAATTAAACCATGAATATATGAATGTTGTTTATGGTAATCCAACTATTGATGAAAATGATAATGAATAAATAGATTTTGATGAAACGCAACCGGATGACGATACACCCACTAGTCCTGCTCCTGAAGTTAACCCAACTAATAATAATCCAAATGATCCCCCGTCTGACCCTCCTGTTACTGCCCCTACCTTTTCTAGACAACCTTCTAAACGGGCAGAAACATCTCTTGTTTGGTCATTTTTTACTCAACTAAGAGAAAAAAATAGGACTAAGTGTAAAACTTGTGGTAAAGAGTTAGTTTTAAAATATGTTGGAAGTGGGAGGGGGGAGGGGGGAGTTTGACTAGACACATANAAGATGTATATATAGTATATAGTATAGTACAGTATATATGTATATATAGTTCGTGGTCCCAGTCCCGGACCGGTTCCAACGAGAAGCCCGCGAAGCCCGAGACTTAGGATCGGGCCCGGCCCACATGCCACCATTAACCAGAGGTTTCGGGTTCGAGTCCTTGGGTATGGAGTCGTTTTTGGTTAGGGAGCGTTTTACTCTAAATGTAGGACTTTCCGACGCGAATTCAGATTTAATCGGATCCTAATGTGGGTACCGGTAAACGGACGTATGAAACAAAGAAAAAAAAAAAAGAATACAAAAAAATGTTGTTCTCATCTTATATGTTCCACTAGTCCACTTGACAAGCGAAAAAAAGACATTTAATTGGCACCGGTTGAGTACAACATAAATCCGTCCTACATATATGTACGTACATTCGAGTCTCCTTCACTGATTCTTCGAAGTATGAGCTCAAACTCCATAGAAGCAAGACAAAAAACGCTCACGGAGTTCTAGAGAGAGAAACATATATTTTCAGAGTGTAACATTTGAGTTTTTCTATCTCGTTTTGCTTCGTAATAGTTATAATGAGTACTTGGTTGGGTTTCTCTCTCTCTGCCGACTTCAACATTGGCGACGATGAAGAAGAAGAAGAAGAAGAAGTAATAAAAGATTATCAAAGTCGCAACGAAAATCAAGCTACTGGAAATGACGCTAACTTAGTAGAAGAAACTCCTTTGTCGGTTATGCCTTCACACTACCCTTTCCCTCGCTGTGACACAACCACTGAAGGTCTAAATTTTTTTCACATTATTTTACTTATTAATTCGTTCATTTTTATGAAGTTGATACGTAATACTTTTCCTTTTTTTAAAATAGATTGTTGGAGGTATGAGAATCATGAGATGACTAGTGCTACTAATCTGGACGAAGAAGGCCCAAAGCTTGAAGATTTCTTAGGATGTTGTTACTCAAATTCTCCTCCTGATCATGAACAACAAATTGCTGAAATCAATGTTAACATTCCGCCCACCATAAATCCCTCTGATCACGAACAACAATTTCAGGTAATGGTACCAAACGGTTCATTTCAGAGCTCTAATGAGTTTACAAACTCTACTACTGGTAGTGTCTACCATTTGCCATTTGATGGAGCTACTTCAGTTTCTGGATTTAAATCTTGGTTACGCCAATCTGCTGCTGCTGCACCATTAATTTCATCTGCTGAAGAAAATAGAACTAACAATTGCCAAACACTTTCGCTTGCCGCGGCTCCGAAAAAGCGGCCGGTAGCTGTTAAGAATGTTACCGGTTCAAGGGAACCGGTTCCGAGAAAATCCATTGATACTTTCGGCCAAAGAACCTCTCAGTACCGTGGTGTCACAAGGTAAAAAAAATTACACCATCAGTTCATATATCTTAAACTCTTTTTTGCTTAATAATTTTGAATAATTATTGTTTCGTTAAATTAATGGACCAAATTAGACATCGGTGGACTGGAAGATACGAGGCTCATTTGTGGGATAACAGCTGTAGAAAAGAAGGGCAAACTAGGAAAGGCAGACAAGGTGCGTATTATTACTGCTTTATGTACTGAAATTTAATTAATTTCTCTAGGGAAATGTTACTCTTCTGCGAATATACTGACGTTTTTTTTCTTGTTTAATTTGTTGTTTTATCTTTGCTTCCTCCAACATTTGGATCAATCAGTCTATCTAGGTATTTGACATTCTCTTTTTCCTTTTTTCTTTTCCGGTTTCTGACACTGTTGTTCTGTTTTGACTTGGGCTTAAAATAATTTTGACATTTCGAAATTTAAAGTTAATTATGTTCCTAAAGTTTGGACGGTGTGTGCATGTTTAATTTAATTCTTGCACGTAAATAAACTTCAGGTGGTTATGATACGGAGGAAAAGGCAGCTAGAGCATACGATTTAGCTGCTTTAAAATACTGGGGTGCCACCACGCATATCAATTTTCCCGTAAGTACATTTCCTTTAATAATCTTCGGATAATCAAGTTTTAAACTTGAGAGTTCTAACTTTTCTGTTCTCACCATTAAATCATTGCACGTATATTTGTTGTAATTTTAGTTATTTTTCACGTCTCTATACTTCGTTATCGTTGAAAAAATATTGGATTCAGTTGATCCCTTGAATTTATACAACATCCTCCCTTGCTAATTCTTAATGATAGGAATATTAATCAGTGATTTTCTATATCAGCTAAACACTTATGAAAAGGAGCTGGAGGAGATGAAAAACATGAATAGGCAAGAATTTGTTGCACACTTGAGAAGGTAGGTAGAGTAATGTTCCTTCCATTTTTTTCACTAGTCTTATTTTTCTTTTCCTGTTTGATGGTGTATTACACTGAAAAAGATGAAACATACTTGTAATTCAATTGCTAAATTTGACCTTCCCATTTTTATGTTAAACAGGAAAAGCAGTGGGTTTTCAAGAGGAGCATCAATGTACAGAGGAGTAACGAGGTTCGTAGCATAGCATTAAACCAAAAGGCAACCTTTTTTTCAACGATTAAAGTGTTTTCACATTCACTATTTTGGCTGCAAAATTTTGCAGCTTTCTTTGAATGCAATTATCTTTGTTCAATAATAGGGCAACAGGCAAACTTTAATGCATGTGCAATCATGCAAACCAATGAACCATACCTATGAAAATCTAGTACCTAAGGAAAATATATTGTATTAAATCTCTAAAATCTCTCTCTAGTTCTCACAAATTTCGAATCTCCAATTCTCCACACTAGAAATAGTACGAAACTTATTTTAACTAGAAATAAAAAATCTATCCCCATATTAATTCTTACTACGAAATTTTATTTACTGCAAATAAACTAGCAAATATCAAATTATAAACAATTAAGATTTTCTACTACAACTTTCAATTAGTTTTCCGACAAGTACCAGGCGTATAGAATTGGGCAATACCCATTGATTAAACTTGGGAAATTGGGCAGGCATCATCAGCATGGGAGGTGGCAAGCCAGAATTGGAAGAGTTGCAGGCAACAAGGACTTGTACCTTGGTACCTTCAGTAAGTAATTTGTTTGTCTTATTGTTTTACTGTGTATTTTTTTCCCAATTTTTTACTCATTTTCTGTTCGTGTGGCTGTCTTCCTATTTCTTTTTTTTTCTTTAATTTTCTAACAAGCCATTTTGGTTTTATTCTCTTCAATGTGCTATTAAGTTATTGAAAAGGAACTACATCTTTAATGTGAATTTTGGGCCAAATTTTTTTATGACTAACGAACCATAAGTTCAGTCATTTTAAAGTGAGAAAAATTAGTACTTACAAAAAGAATTCTCATCTCACAAAATATTAACCGAAAACAAACATTACGAAATCGGGCTTGGACAGATAGATTTAATCCTGTGTATTTCAAATTCATAGGAGTCTTAGCATATTTGAATCCGATCCGGTAATACTTGAGAAAGATTAGAATATTTTAGTATATGCGAACATGTCATTCATCCAACTCATCTAAACATCAAATATCCCAACCTTTGGGAATTTGAATCACAGAATATTCTCAGTCCCATATTATTTGGTCATATGTCTAATTTCAGGTACTCAAGAGGAAGCAGCTGAAGCGTATGATATTGCTGCAATCAAGTTCAGAGGAACAAGCGCTGTAACCAATTTTGATAGTAGTAGGTACGACGTCAAGAGGATTTGTTCGAGCACAACTTTAATTGCTAGTGATCTAGCCAAGCGCTCCCCATCAAAGGATTCTGGCGTCAGCCCATCTTCCTTTGAAGACTATAATAATTCATGCACATCTTCACCTCAACCCATTTTGGCCATAACAAATGGGGAGCAATTGCAGCAGCAGCCTGCAGATAATTCATTCATGGACATATCAAACAGCAGGAGCTCTGGCTCTCGTTCTGCTGAAATGAGTTGTGATTTCGGGGTTGGATTAGAGTATCCCCAGTTTGAAGATGGACGCAAAAGAATTGATGATAATACTCAGAGCTTAGGACGAATTGGGAATATGGACCTAGTTCATCCAGTTCCCATGTTCGCATTATGGAACCAATGAAAACCGAAAACTATGTATGAGTCTTTTGTTTGCAACTGGTGATGAATGATGATACATTTCTAGAGATTAGTCTAACTCCCAACTGTTTTGGATGTTAATTCGATGGCAATGAAAACAAAAGATGAATGCAGCTTTGGTAGTTTGAAGCGATTTTTGAGCTCATAAAACTTGCTCCCACATCATTTTATCCTTGTCAACAAATTCATAGGCGGATTCAGGATTTGAAGTTTATGGGTTTCTGTCGCAATCTCAAATTAATATACCATAATAAATACGTTCATAGTTAGATATTTATAGATATTTAGTAAATTTTTAATAAAAATATAGGATTTACGCAAAAGTTACTGTGTTTCCGAAAACTCATATACTATACTCTAGATATGCCCTGTCAAAAATAGTAGTACTATTTTATTAAGCATGTCTTATAGTATATCGACACTAGTAGATTAACTCGAAAAAAAAAATCATGGTATTCCTTAAATTCTTTAGTTAGTCACTAATAACATTTAACAAGTAGAAATTGCTTTAAATTATATCCTCACGTTGCAAAACAATGTCAAACGCTAATAGGATATGCGTCCATGTAAAATTATGACTCTTTTGCTCTTAAAAATGGATAATAATTGAATTTATATGCGGTTTTAAGGATATGTGGACTAATTCAATACAAATGATTAATACGTTAGATGGGCAAATTAATGATAGAATAAACAGCCAAATCAATAGTAGAATTGAGTCCGGGCTCGGTTATGAGCTTAACAATTAACCTGTCCTCGGTTCGGAGCCAAACACTTATGATGAACTACGAGAAAAATTAAGGACTTTGAATCACTTTCAGGAGTAGAGTAAACAAATATATATTACCTTGATATGCGTGTTACAGTGTCTTTGTTGAATAATAAACCTCTCATTTATATAGTAGAGGAGTTTTACCCACAAAGGTAAAAATCTTCCTTTTCGCTAATCACTGATCTGCTATCGATACGGGCCGAGATCCTCGCCAAGATATCCAGTTGGGCACGGATATCATGGCCATTTATTAATCACGCGCGGTCGTTTGGTAATGCTTTCCGAGATCTTGAAACACGAACCAGATCCGGGGAATGTAATCTCGATGGTTCCGAGGGCAGGTGTCTTGCTCGGGTTTTGATACGAGAGGCTCCTAGCTCCGATTTTGGTTACTTGTAGTTACGCCCTTGCTTCGTTTGCCCTATTCGGAAAATCGGGGCGCTCATTAGCCTCAGTTTTACCCGTTTATATATATAGTCTCCTTGTTTCTCAGAGATTAGGTTTTGTCGAAATGATGAGAAATGATATATGTTCTCATGTTCCTTCCTCTGTACGTTACAACCGAAACGACGAAGAAGTAGAAACGTCCCATCAGTCGCGTCGTTCTGACTTCGTACACATGTCAACCATCGGTTGATTGCCCCCGAATGCGAAGTGTCGCGCACTTTCCCTATAAAAGCTTTTATCCCCTTTCTTTTTCCACTTTCCGATCAAGCTTCTACCTTCGAATAGCTGTTACCGTGTTCTTAACTCACATCATACTAACCTTTCTTCTTTCTTTTATAGGTTTGCCTAAGACCGTCGAGCTTAGGCCTTTGGAAAGGATGAGGACGTATCCTTATCCGTTGATCCCTCTGTTTCGGGACAACCCGGGGCTGCCGCGGGGGAAAAGAAGAAGAGGAAAAAAAAACCTTTGGGTTCCCCGGGTCCCAAGGTAAAGCCAAAGAAGAGGGTGGCTCGCAAGCCCATGAAGAGTACCAGCTCCCGGGTGCCAGATTCGGACTCGCTTCTCCGGCTCAGGGATGAGTCGAAGAAGACCATATTTTTATTGCCCATGGAATGACCCCTCCCGGGGAGCAGGCGGCAGTCGAGGGGGAGATTCGCGAGGCCGACTTCCCTCAGACTCGAAAAGCCGATATGGAGATAGGGGTGGGACCCCGAGGACGCCGGTTCTGCTCCGAAGGAAGCACCCGATGTGATAGAAATTATGGGAACGCCCTCTTACACCGAGTCCATGCTTGAGGAGGCCCAAGCAGGAAAAGAGAAGTCTAATGAAGGGGCTCATGGCGCGGACGATCCCCTTCATTCTTTCTTTGATGATTTGGACTCGCCCACTTTGGAAGATATTTTCGGGATGGGCGACTTGGAAGTCCCGAAGAAGGATACATCTTTGAAAGTTGGCGGGCTGAGTTCGAGCCCAAAATTGATTAATCAGTTTCCCGCTCCAAGTGTGGACCCTGGTCGAAATAGATCGGTTATTCTTACAGTCCCGGAGGATGCCAGGGTTCTATCTGCTCCAGTGGGAGTAGCCAGCTATCTCTGATGCATGGTGAGCGAGGAGGACTAGGCAAAAATAAACGAGGTGGACGTGCCGTGCCTTTTCAATGAGGCAGTAATCGCTGAACCGGGTAAGGCATCATTACGTCTTTTTGAATTTTACTTAGCTTTTTAATATCTCTCACGTCTTTCATTATTTTACAGGCCTCTATACTTCACCACGAGAGATTCCTGCAGTATCATGTCGAGGTCAATCAGCTCGAGCTCGAGCTCAAGGAGCAGGCTTGAAAGAAGGATATGTACAAGCTCCTCAGCGAGCAACAAGACAGGACTGTCAAGGACCTTCAGAACGAGTTGGATAGGGCTCATAAGGAAGCATCGGCCCTGAGGCGGGAGCATGCCAACTTGGTCGAAAAGGTAAAGGTCTTTGAAGTTAGAAACGAGAAACTAGTCGTAGTGGCTAACGACAAAACCTCGCAAGTCCAACAGAAGATCGGCCAGGTCGACCAACTCCAAAAATAAATGAACGAGATCCAAGCCATGGCTGATGTGTGGAAGAGCAAGATGGATTTGTTGGCTTCAGAGAAAGAAATAGCCCAGGAAAAGCTGACATCAATAGAGGTTCAACTTCGGGTGGCGAAGGAGAAAGCTGACAAGCGGGCTCGGCTATCGCAGAACGGGACGCCCTCGGTAGAGAGCGCGAAACAATGAAGTCCAAGATGGAGACAACCTCTACCGATGCTGAGGAGATGGTGGCCTAATACAAGGCCGATGTCGAAGTAGTCGAGGCCCGCCTGAAGACTAATGCCGAATATGTCAGGCAGTTGTATCGAAGGGAGACCCTCGAAGAAATTCACGCCCGAGCCTTCGATCTGTCGGCCAAGATTGAGGAAGCAATAAAGCTTGAGGCCGAGGCAAAGAAACGTTTTGAGCCTGAAGGTGCCGAAGGCTCCGAGGGTTCTGAGGGGTCCGAAGGCTCCGGCGGTTATGATGACGAGTTGGGCCCCGGTGAATATCAGGCATGAATGCCTTAGAACGTTTTTTGATTTTTGATTTGTGTATATTTTTTTTTCATTTTGAGGCCATTTTTATTGGGCTTTGTAAGTACATTCTGGAATATATTAGATTTCCCTTTCTGGCAATTTCAAGTCTCTACTTTTTTAGCATCTTTTCATAATCTCTATTCTTGCAAATATTTCTGATGCCTTAGCATAGAATCAAATATACCAATAAGTCGTTCGTTTTTTATATGTCCGAACAGAGCCCGACTTCGATGCAACTTTATTTGCTCGAGGTCTTGAAAATTCGGTGTGACTGGCAGTTTTCCCAAGATGCTTAAGTGATTTTAGATGATGCTTTGCCGAGGGTAACCTTTTAGCAGGTTTTGAATTTTTATAAAGGCCTTATGTTCTGATTACAATCTTCGGACGTCTCCGAGCTATTTTTTAGGGTGGCCGTAGCCTTTCGTGTTTAAGCACTACCTAATAGGTTTTGTGCCGACGGGATTTTATATCCCGAGTTGCCTGAACTTATTTCGAACAACAGTCCCCAAGTAGGGTAGCCCTTGGGCTTGATAGTCCCCGAATAGGGGTAGTCCTTAGGCTCGATAGTCCCCGAATAAGGGGTAGTCCTTAGGCTCGATAGTCCCCGAATAAGGGGTATCCCTTAGGCTCGATGTTTGAATAGGCAAAGTAAGGTAGAAACTTTCTTTAATTTCTGTGTGTAAAGTACATGATCGGAAGTGTGCAAAAGCTTGTATTATGGCTAAGGTGGCCTATGCGGGCACGATTCACTTGACCGTTTGACCCTTACAATAAATCCTAAGCACTGAGCTTAAGTTGTTCAAGTACAAAGTTTCCTTCTTTCCTTTATAAGAACCTTAACCTGGGGGTGATGGACCCTAGTATTCGAGGTCGATCTTGAGAGGGATCGGATATTGTTGATGTGACCATTGACTCCGATTTAAAATCGTTCTTCGAATCTAAGTTAGCATGATTTACCGTTGCCTCATTAAAAACTTCGCCGGGAAACCCATTTGGGACAAAACGCGGTTCAAAGGAAAAAGAGTGCAACACGTGCTTTCAGACCTAATAGTCACATTCTCCTTTGGTTGTTGCCTGCAAGCATTAGTGTAATTTATAATATTATAAAAAATTAAATGAGATCGTACCTTAGCAATAGTAATGCTTTAAGTGCGTCACGTTCCAGTTGTTCGGTAGCTGTGTACCGTTTCCCGCTTCGAGTTTGTACGAGCCCTTGCCAGTAATTTTGACGACTCGATATGGTCTTTCCTAATTCGGTCCCAACTTTCCCTCGTTCGGTTTTCGGGTATGCAGTGTTACTTTTCTTAACACCAAGTCCCCTATCTTAAAGTGTTGGAGGCTAGCTCTTCGGTTGTAATATCTTTCTATCATGTTGTTTTTGGGCGGCCAACCAGACTAGGGCAGCCTCTCGTCTTTCATCCAATAGTTTCAGGCTCGTACTCATGGCTTCACCGTTTGATTCTTCGGTCGCATATCGGAACCTGAGGCTCAGTTCTCCCACTTCGACCGGTATTAATACTTCATCACCGTAGATCAATGAAAATGGGGTGGCCCCGGTACTAAATTTTGAAGTTGTACGGTACGCCCACAAGACTTCAGGCAGAATTACCTTCCACTTTCCTTTGGCATCTGTCAACCTCTTTTTCAAGTTTTGGAGTATGGTCTTGTTTGTAGATTCCGCTTTTCCGTTCCCACCAGTGTGATAGGGTGTGGATAGTATCTTTATAATCTTGTGTTTTTCAAAAAACTTGTTTACCTTGTTGCCGATGAATTGTTTCCCATTATCACACACGATCTCGGCCGGTATCCCGAAC